GATGTGCAGGTGCTGTTCATGCGCTCCGATGGCGGCCTGGCGCCCATGGACGCCTTCAGTGGTTCCCGCGCGGTGTTGTCCGGCCCCGCTGGGGGCGTGGTTGGCTACTCTGCCACTACCTACCAGGCCGAGGGTGGCCAGCCTGTCATCGGCTTTGACATGGGAGGTACGAGGGCCGAAGGGTACGAGCCTTCCAGGGGAGGTTCCGCCGCCGGTGGGCAATGCAGGCGTCCAGGGCTGCGGGGTGACACTCACCGCCAGACCCCCCACCAGGCACATCCACCGACGTGAGCCGCTACGCGGGGGAGTTCGAGCACGTCTTTGAGGCCAGCACGGCCGGCGTCACCCTCCAGGCCCCCCAGTTGGACATCAACACGGTCGCAGCTGGCGGGGGCTCCCGCCTCTTCTTCAGGTCAGCTCCCCACCTGGGCCAGGACCCCCTGCCCTGCCTCCCAACCCGCCTCCAATTCCACTTGTCCCTCCCCCAAGGTCTGGCCTATTTGTGGTGGGGCCGGAGTCTGCAGGAGCCCACCCTGGCCCCGCCTGCTACCGTAAAGGTAAGATCTGGGGTCTCCCTCCCGAACCCTCCCCTGCTGCCCAGGCCCACCCACCTCTTCAGCCCCCAACCCCACGCTGTGCACACCTCCCAGGGGGCCCCGTGACCGTGACGGATGCTAATCTGGTTCTGGGCCGCCTGCTGCCTGCCTCCTTTCCCTGCATCTTTGGGCCGGGAGAGGACCAGCCTCTGTCTCCGGAGGCCTCCCGGAAGGCCCTGGAGGCTGTGGCCGCCGACATCAACAGCTTCCTGACCAACGGGCCTTGCCCCGCCTCCCCACTGAGCCTAGAGGAGGTGGCCATGGGGTTCGTGCGTGTGGCCAACGAGGCCATGTGCCGGCCCATCCGCGCCCTCACGCAGGTACGCCGCCTGCCTTTGCTCTTGCCCCCCAGCCCTGCCCCCGGCCCCTCCCACTCAGGCAACCCCCGGGGGGTGAGGGGTCAGGAGCTGAACAGGGTAGGTGAAGCCCCTGACCCTCCTCTGGCTCCCTAGGCACGAGGTCACGACCCCTCGGCACATGTGCTGGCCTGCTTCGGAGGAGCTGGCGGGCAGCATGCCTGTGCCATCGCCCGGGCCCTGGGCATGGACACTGTGTACATTCACAGGTGTGTCTGGGCCTGGGGCACGGGGCCCAGGAGGGGGGACGGCCGGGGAGGCTCCCCTC